CGTAACAGATTAATATAATGCTGAACTGGAGCTGCTCAGCCAAGACTTTGATTTCGCCATTAAAAAATTTCGCCATTAAATCCAGACCATTAAAAAGTACATTCTTTTGTTATTGAAAGTAACGTTGATGTTTTGGATTTTACCTAAAATAATGTTATTTCTAGTGTTCTAAATTTGTACACTAGTATTCCACATTACACTAGTAGCACAGATTATTGAAATTTGTAGTGGCATTTTTGATATAAATATTTTTTTAATGAAAATTGTATTGATAAATCTTATTGGTTGGATATTTGTAGGTTTAATCTTCTTGAGAATATACTTTTTAATGGTCTGGATTTTTATAAATAAATTATTGGTATTCCACAAGGTAATTCCTTTTCTGGTGCTTTTGCTAATATTTTTTTAAATTTTTTTGAAGCTAATTTTTTTGAGTTTAATGGTTTTAAAGCTTTTAGATATATGGATGATTTAATTTTATTTAATTGCGATAATTATGATTTTATTTTTAGTATTTATCTTAAAGATTTGGTTTAAAAAAAAAGACTAATGAGAATTGCTTAAAAGTCGAATATTTAGATTTTAAAATTGATATTGTTGATAAAAAAATTAAAATTCGTGCTTTTGATAAACGAATGGCTTTTAAATTTAAAATTATTTTTTTTCTGTAATTTTAATTCTAATTTGTGCAGTAAAATTTTCAAAAATTTAGCTTTTTCTCAATTGTTTAGAATTAAAAAAATTTTCAATAACGTTGAGTGTCTTCAGGGGGCAACAAATAATTTTTTGAAACATTTGAGAAATAATAATTTTTCTTTTAATTACTGCAATGCTAAATTTTTGATTAGGAAAATGATTGAGAAATATTAGTTTATTATTTCTTTCTTTTAACAGGATGAAATTAAAGTCTTGACTGAGCAGCTCCAGTTAAGTATTATATTAATCTGTTACACAATCTTAACCTTTCCTATCCTTTTTTTCTTCCTGCTGCGCATTTTAATAGGGGGCGCTGTTTCCTTTTATTTGAAATTTTTCTATAGCTATATAGTTGGATTGAGTTAGTTTCGTGAATTTGCTGTTTGACTAGTTTACTGTGAGTTTTTGTATTCTCATTTTTGTATTATATTCTCATGATTTTGTTTAAATTTTTCTTCTGATTTGATTGTATGTATTTTTTGTATTGTATTATTTTGCAATTTGTATACATTTTTTGTATTATTTTGCAAAACCTTCGGGGTACCGAGAGAGCAATTTTTTGACATTTTTCTGGTTTTCTCAACAGAAAAGATTTTGTTTTTATGTCTTCCGGAGCTGGTACCCCCTGAAGACGCCAGCTTCGGTAGCCGTATTTTTATTTCCATTGTTTTCTTTTTTCTTTATTGCTTCAATTAAGGAAATGTGTTAGTCTAGGAAAAAAAATATTATTTCAAGACTAATCTAGAAGGATCAAATTATATACAATAACGAGACAACAATATTTATTTTGTAGTTGCGATCTATTCTGTTTTAATATGTTTAATCTGAATTACACACAAATTAAAATTATATAGATCAAAATGATTTTAATGTAGCGGAATTAATGCCACTCTATGCCAGAAGTGTCAAATCCTTCTGTGTCAAAGCCTCCCATGTCGTCTAATCCATAGAATCCATCTCCTAGTCCGGCTCCCATTCCGAAACAAGTATCGAGCATATTACAGAACATTATTGCTGACATAACACCAAGACAAGATTGCCAACAAGAGCCGAGCATCCCGCGGTTGCCAGTGCTTTGTTGAGGCAGTGGTTGGCTGTTTAATAAAAGTGCACATTATTTACCCTTTTCGAATGGCTTTTAATGTAAGAATTGTGTTCAGCAAACGTATCACATATCTTTCAGCTTTATATTTTGGAAATAAAAAACGTTAAAAATTAAAGACGTTTTCTTTGCTAAAGATTGCGTCAATTATCTCAAGGAAAAAATGAGTTTGATTTCACCAAAATTGCTGATTTGCCTTGATATCCTGAAAAAGCATCATTAAACTAATAAACATATATTTTGTTTTTTAAAAATTGAATTTGCAGTGCTAAAGAACAAAGCACTTTAATATCAAACTCAGCATGCCACCTATTGATCACGCCCATACGTCATACCATATTGTCATGCAATCTCAAATTGGGAAAGCATGGTTTGCTTTGCAAACCATTCTCGCTTCTCTCGCAACTAAATAAACCCATTTGAAATGTGTCCTAGCATAAAATCTTAAAAACTTATATCAGTTATTGAAATCTTTAAAACTAATTCCTTTTGAGGAAAATAAGTTTCTAGACAATTATAAATTTTTAAACTAGAACATTTTAAAATAAAACAAATACCATTCAAGTCACAACTTTGTTAATAACATTGTTTTAATACTCAGAACTTTGAGCTATCACTGTGTGTTTCAGAATGTTCGTCAATCTTTTCTTCGCTGTTGTACTGCGTGCATAGCAGCTGCCTGCCACTGTTTTGAACACTTATTGCCATTAAATCACATGCCATTAAATTTGATTTTATGACTTAACTTCATCGTTCTTTCTGTGTCTTCTAACTGTTTTGCGTTTGATAAAAATTGTTTACATAAATTGTGATTGGATGTGTACTATCACTTCTTAAAATTTTGCCCATCTTTTAGGAATCATCATATATATATATATATATATTTCATCATATATATATATATANTAACTCTTTTTAATAAATTGTATATACAACGAATTCTGAAGATATTAGTCAATATATATATATATATATATATATATCTTTTTTCTGAAGACAACTATAAACATTCAAAACAAAATAGTTGCGGATCTCTACCCCGTTCGCGTTGTGTATTCCTGCATCATTTTAAATCATACATTTATTATGTATTTCATGTTGACTTGTTACAAGTAAGAATATTCTCTTTTTTGAAATTATTATTTCTGAATTACATTAAATAAGATTCTTTATTTTTGCAACGAAATATGTATACCTATAAATGATATGTTTAAAAATAAAGGCATTTTACGAAGAAATATTGTATGGCAATCATAGTTGCACTGCTATGATCGTTTTCCTGTCATAAAATTCCTCTTTGTGTAAATTGACACTTGACAGGCTTGGCTTACTTGAAATAGAACGGAAAGAACAGTTCCTAATGTAAACATATACCATATTTCAACAACCAATCAGGATCGAGATACCCATACTACGTCACTCGCGGTAACCCACTGTAACCTACTGGAAGTGATGTCACGCGTGTGTGTTGAGCATCATTGGCTTTTGTAACCACTAAAGCAACGATTTATCTACAATGACGCCACTTGAAAGTATCCAATTAAAAGAAAGGAAAATTAATGAGTTTTTTATTGAGACGCATTTGCTTCCTCAAGAGATATTTTGTCTGAAATTGATCAGCATTCACGTAATATATGAAGAGAAAAACCACGAAAACCATTACAGCTTAATTTGAAGATGGGAAGAGTAAACAAGGTTTTGTAAGGAGAAAATTTAAGCAATTTTCACATCATTGGAGTTTTGACGAATATTTAATATTTAATCTCTTAAATCATAAATTTCTTACTAATGTCTTATTATGGTGAGGAATAATTTTTCTATTAAAAGTATTGCTTTTATCTTATTTTTTTATGCTCGAAAATTCTTTTTTTTTTTAAGTTTTCATTAACTTTTATTGAATTTAATTATTAACACTTACATTTCAATTCATGATAATATATTTTAAATGAATTACCTTATAGATCCAAATAAATTATTCAATTTAAAATGGATGATAATATATTTCGGTATTATCCAATATCTATCGCAAGTAAATGAAACCTTATTTGCAGTTTATGTTCGTGAACAAGAAATTCAGATTTATTTATTCAAGAGTAAGAAAGTTATTCATAATCATAAAATCAAAATTTGAATCACCGGGTGATAGTAATTATTTTTCTCAGCAGTGATTGTAATTAGTTTTGTAGACAGTTAATTCCTTGTGTATAATTCTATTGTTAAAATAAATAATATTATTATACTCAATTTTAAGCAATTCAATAATTAATATAAAACTCCCCAACCAAAATTGCGGTTCGATCTAATTTCAAAATCCTTAGACTATCTTCATTTTTACTACATTAGCTAGATGATAACTGAATTTATCGCATGCCCCTGGTTTATCTAGCATTAGAAAAGTTTTGTGCACAATTTTATCGAATACAGTATAAATAGAAACTTTATATACTGTCCAGATTTCACGAGAGCTCCTCCCACTGGGAATCTCAATAACACAAAAACAAGAATAAAACCATTGCTGATGGAGTAGCATTGAAGTTATGAAATAATTCTCCCAACCTAAGAAGCCAAACTGTTAGCCACACGCCCCTTTTCGAAGTGATTTATTTTCATAACTACTACAATCGCAAGCACGCTCGTCGACATCCGGAAAACTTCTCGTGAAAGCCAGCAGTAAGTTATAAAGTTCAAGTTATCCGTTGAAATAGAATAGTTCGTTCAAATCATTGCAGTAATGGCGGCATTAGAAATACTGAATTTTGAGGGACTTAATGGCGTAGACAAGCTAGCGTTAGACTTGTAACTTCAAAAAATATATGGATCTAACCACTCTATAAAATTTTTGATACTCATGTATGAAATGTCAGGAAAAAAGCTAAGTATAACTAAAATATTTTAAGTGGATTTGGAATAAGGCTATTTTTGAAATTTTTTATACTGATATAAACCATTGTATATAGTCTGGAGCTTCAGAAAAACCATCACACACAATCTAGGATGAATTAGACAGATTCATATAGTAGCTATCGCAATGCATAACCTAACATATTTCGTTCCTTAAAATGCATTAATTTTTTCACTCAATTTATTTTTAAGAAGCGGAAAGGAAATGAACACAATTCTGAGAATTTCGAAACTATTTATCAGTATCAGTTGAGGAAAAAAACACAATTCAGAGAATATGAAATTTATTGTTCTTCTTGCACAGAATGAAGATGCATTTACATAAGATAGCGAAAAAAAGGATCAAGGCAAACGACAACAGAGAGCATACATGGCAGAAAAAGAGGAGCTAAGCAACAGCATAGAAACACGCAGGTGTAGCAGGTGCAAATTTTTAAACCAAGCAAACATTCGTTCGTACATGCTGTTATGCATGGACACCATTCCGTTAAAGTTGGTTCACTAGGAAAAAAGTTCAGGAGAAACAGACAAAACAAGAATAAGTTCAAAATATATCAACACAAAAAATAATTATAGCATACTCTCCAATTTATACTTTGGAAGTATTTACTTGAAGGTAAATAATAAGTAATATAACATAAATATTTTTTTTAAATAAAATCTGAGCATGATGGATCATATCGAAACTGGAAAGTGGATGTTATCTAACGTCATGATTATTATCTTGAAAAATGTCTAAATAACTAACATGTTGCCTGAGTAACTTTTTTTCAGGAAACAAGTAAACGAAGAAAAAAAATATAGCAACCACTATTGATAGTAAACCCTATAAAGTTAAAAACGGTCAGCGTAATAGACGAAACACAAGGAGGGTTTATATAAATGCCAAAGCCTAGATTTTAAGCCAGCGTTTAATTCAATTGATGGCGTTTTTCTTTGCAGATTATTGTTCTTCTAATATTCCTAAATTAAATCATGATTGAAGTTTCCTTAATTTACAAAATCGATCTTGATCAAAAATGAATAAGAAATTTGCATTTCTGCGTAGTTTTTCAATTTCAAACAATGTAGAGGTGTAGTAACTTTTCAAATACTCAGAAAATGAGTCCAAAACACGGTTTCGTTTTTGTAAAACTGTGAATTTTCTTCATATTGCTATTTTCCGCCATTTTCCTAATTAGCACAGATAGTGCTTTTAAAGATAGACAAAACTTAAATCTAACTGTTGCAGCTCACAACAGTTATTAAAAAAGCATAATATTCATTTAAAAGTATTCCAGCAGTGGACTGATCGTTAAGACACAGCTCCCATCAGATCACCGAAGTCAAGCTTCACTGGCTGCTGTCAGTGTGCGGGTTGGTGATCACTTGGATCTGTCTGCGTAGGGACCGAGGGTGTGCGGTATTTGTCCTCGATAAACTGTTCTACCGTAAATGCTCGACTTCGCGGGCAGGTCGTTGGGCTACAGAATGCCATCCCCTCTGCAGAGGATCAGAATTGTGATGGCATGTCTTCGGATCATCCTCAGGGATGTTTCCTAGACCGTCGCCAATAGCTCATTGTGCAGCGCTAGGGCGACGTAAATGAACTACTACAACAACATTATTTAAAAGCGTTAGTTAATTGGTAGCAGAATCTGCTCAAATCAGCCCAGCAATATATTTTTAAATATCAAAATAATATGTGACGCAGAAGTATGTTAGTATTAAATAAACTTTACGCAATGATGTATTTAAAATTTTTCACACTTTTCCTTTTTAAAATATCAAATAAGTAAGTTTTCAACTAAATTCTGATTTTTATATGGTAGTTGCAAAATAACTATAAAATATGCCATTTGAACTATTTCGAGTTTTTCACTTTATTCTTCTTTTTTCGTAGCTTGCGACCGAAAGGGAAATTAAATTGATATGGATAATTTTAGCATGATTTAATAAATACAAAATGCATTTTTCTATTTTTCTTTTTTAGTTACTTGAAGAGTATACTACTAAATTAAATGAAATCAAATATATCGAAATATAAAGATATATAAGAGAACGATGACGTAAAAATTTCGAAAACTTTGAGCTGTTATTAAAGGCAAAAAATTAAATGATTTTAAATAACTCAAACATATTAATAAGAAATTACTTTGTTTAAAATTAAAAATAATTCGTTTTCAAATTCTATACTTATAAATTAAGTAATAATTCGAATCGATAAGAAAAATGTTTAGTATTCAAAAAATGTAGATACAAATTATTTAAAGGTATATTTAAGCCAAGATTTATAAAAATTTCCATTTCCATAATCAATTGCAAACAAAGTATAGCCTAATAATTAATTTAGACAAAATATTTTATAGCATTAAATGTCATTCTGAAATTTACAAGTACTGACATTTATTACCTATAAGAATCATGCTTTTTTTCAACACCTTCTTCGTTTATTGACCTGAATGAAAAGTAACACACAAATTTAAAGAACTAAAAAAAATTAAATATGACTTTTATAAGATTCTTGGAAAATCTTTAATGGAAAAAAATACGTGAAGTGCGTACGTTATTTGTCTTCTTCCATTGAACTGTGAATCTATATAAAGCAATAAACTGAATTTTTAAATTGCAATTTTCCTTAAATTTTCCTAAACTATTCATGACTAAAATTATTTGCGAAACAGGCAATTTATGTTTCTCTTTCCTATTTTATATGTTTTCTTAAATAAATATCAATCTTCTAATACTATTTATGATCAATTTCTAAAATTATCCAGTATAATATTACCTTGCGCACATCCATTTCGGGCCCATCCTTGGTAACTAACAAATCAAAGCTCAGAATAACAAATCACTTCAGCAGTGCAGTAAGAACGACACTTTAAAACTCTCTTGTTACACTCAATTTGCGATTTTGTTTTCATCTTTTGTTTTCATATTTTGTAATCTGGCAATCCTTCTGCGAAAACATTTTTAAATCATTCTTGAAAAATTTTATGTCCTTGTAAGTTGATCTGATTTTGCTACTCGCTTTATAGTTCCCTTTTTAATGTTTTGTTCTTTTATTTTATTTTCTGTTTTTACATGTTACTTATTTTTACTTTTTGTGATCTATTTTATTTGCTGTTATTTTTTAAAAAAATTTTTGAGTGCTCCTTACACTATTGTGTTAATATATTTTGCTTCGGCTTTATTGATACAATATCAGAAAGCACTCTGTTTTGCGGATATAATCGTGTGGGCTGAAGAAAAATATATATCTTTTTTTTCCGACTTTTTAATTAACATTTATTTATTTTTTTTTATTTATTTATTTATTTTTTTTTTTATAAATAAAATGTTGTTTGTTATTTTTTACTTATTATTTCCCACCCCCTTTTTTTCTCCATATGTCTATAATTTTTCTTTGTTTTATAACATCTATCTTTTAAAACTATTTATGATCAATTTTTAAAATTATCC